TACCGATACACTCAACTTCAACATTCGCGCTAAACAAACGCTATAACAACGAACGTCAATAATACTTCTGACTGCAGTTCAATTACTCACTATCTACACACACACACACATTACATTTCATTACCGCGTCACGTTGCCACCCTCTTATATATATACCAGACTACCCTATCTAGTAAATACTAGAGCATTCATGAAGGAACAAGATAGTTCTAGAAACTAGAGGGCGCCACACCAGTCACGTGACCTCGATGACGCAACACTATATATATATAAGTTTTTTGTGTGTACTTCTATGGTTGTAAACAAGAAAATGATGTAAGTAAGGCAAAGAGTAGGAAAACAAATATTGATATCTTAGTGGGCAATAATGTAGTATTAAATCGCAACTTTATAATTATAATAACGCCGTTCTTTACTAGTTTTCAATGATAATAGCTCATAATAGTATTTCAACTACACTTTGTTCTTTGTCGTGCCAGACTCTCACCAGAAATACCCATGATCGAATTCCACCTATTACCAACACATGAATAGTTCTTCTCAGGACTTCCCTGAAGATGGGCACAGATTAGCACCCGAAACGTAGGATCAAAACTAGTTAGTGGATATTATCTACTCATGAAAAATTGTTACTAATTAGTAATTAGACTTGAGTTATCGTTCAGGCTACTAACCATGACAACGATTGATATAAAATTGCTACAACGGTATCGTAAGCACTTAATTACCCAGTACGGTCACAGTCTTTGTAAGGAATTCGGGATTTAGAAAAACCTAACTGTAAGTTACTTAAAATAAATACTCACTTCACCTTCCTTCATAATTGTAAACATCTGGGTATATCAAATATTATTGCTTTTTGTGTCTCTGGGACAGCCAAGATAATGAAAATCATTTCAAAAAGAAAGAATGGCCAATGAGAGAGAATTAGATACTAGAGAAATAGAATATCGAGTATCAACCTTTAGTGAATCCTCAAAATGTGTTTCTGCTCTCACTTCATATTAATCTGGAACTCATGTAGAATTCTGTAAAAGGAATGAACAAAGATGGTAATGGTTTTAGATATCAGTCTGATAAGTTTGTTTTTTTTAAATCAGGGAAGCAAAAGTGAAAGGCGGTATCTTTGTTAGGCCACAGATTCGGGATGTGCTGAGGGATGACGATTTTGAAACATTACTCAATCAGAAAGAACTTGCTGCCTGGAGATCATTCACAGTGGTTGTTAAAAATTAATTATGAAATAACAGAGAAGAAAACAATGCTTTGATTATTGATGATATGCTCGAGAACTACAGGAAAATGCGGCTTAAGATGTCATTAAAGATACACTTCTTACACTCCCATTTATTCTTCTTTCGAAATTATCTAGGTGCAGTGAGCGATGAGCATGGTGAATGCTTCCACCAAGATATTTATACAATGGAAAAGCAATATCAAGGACGATAGAATCCTGCCATAATGGGAGATAACTGTTGGTTCTTACAGTATGAAACTGAGAACGTACACAAAAGGCGCAACAAGTGAAGCAGATATTTTGTAACATAAAATAAAAATAATATCATGATGAAAGTTTTGTACATAGCCTGAATGTACTTTTAGTATATAATCTTATTATACTCATTGCTTTTTAAACTGGTATTGCTATTGTGAATTGTTTTTGAACATTCTTAAATCCAATTTTCAATAAATTAAGCTATTAAAGAAAAAGTCATTTTCACGATATGTAAGAATATTTTGAATAAATTTATCGTAAGTCGAAAACTAGAGATGATCACTAATTTTCAAAATGGTTTTAAGAATCGTTTTCTTTGTTTGTAATTAAGCACAAAGCTACGCAATGGGCTATCTGTGTCCTGTCCACCACAGGTATCAAACCCCGGTTTCTAGCGTTGTAAGCCCGCAGTCATACCGCTGTGCCACTGGAGACAATTATTAAAGAATTAAAAGACTCATTAATTTACTACTACAAACAATAAAGAATATGATACAGGATAGTGGATGTAGGACATTCAATATCATGCGGTGAAATGTATTTTCAGATTATCCATAAAGATAAAATGTGAAAATTCGTTCCCAGATTAAATATATATATATATATACATAGATATTTAAATATATATTTTTTTTTAAAGTTAAAATTACTTAAAAATTCTTATGAACTATATTTACTTTTGTTCTTCAAGTGGAGTAGGTTTCAAACTCTATGTACAGATTGACGTGAAGAAAAAGCCCTAGCATAGACAAAAACTATAAAACTAGTAACGAATCATAAAGTTTCAAACGCAAATAAAACGCTTCTCATACTAAAGAGTTTCGAACACCTGGTTTATGGAAAATGCTGATAGTGAATTATTAGGTCGTCAAGAAATTAATGTCGCGTTTTGGAACACTTTCATTAACCACCCCCGAAAAAACCTTCATCACGTATAATAGTTAAACGAACCGTCTAAACGTCACGTTAGTGTAGCCTATATAATGTCTGAAATTTAGTGTACTCAAATCCTCTATAGTGATGGTACACAACGAGACATACATGTAATGCTGTTTGAATACAAGAAAGGAAACAACATACATGAACCGGCTTGAATGTAAGTCATGCTTATTTTAAATCAATGTTTTTCATCACACGTTTTTAAACGTTGGACAAGCACGATGCTTATTTTGGAATAATGTGGAACCACCGTTGGACTATTGACCATTGTAGAAAGTCGCAGCCGTTTAACAAGTTCACAGATAGGCTGTTTATTAAAAAATGAATGTTTGTTTGTATGTTTCTGATAGCTGCGCAAAGCTAAACAAGGGAT